AACAACAACAACAACAACAAACTTCAGTTAAAGATTAGAGACCAGGTCAACAGGGCTGGGGGTTTGCCTCTGATCCCCCGTTGCCTCTGGGGGCGTGCCTGGCGGCAGGAAGACCCCAGGGCGATGCGGAGTTATCGCGTGGGATGCTCTACCGGGCTCCTGCGGAGCCGCGGACGTAACCCCGTGTGACTCCTGCAACCTGGCCCGGACCCACGCGCCAGTGCTGGACGTGCACACTTGCTTGTGCTCATCCGAGCCCAGCACCTAACGAGCACACGGTATTTAGCTACGTGTGACGCCTTCACTAAGCCTTCCTGGGCGACTGCGCCTGTGCGCAACCCTGCCTCTGAAACGCCTGCGCCAGGTGGCATTTGTAGTTCAGGCCTTTCCAGGTCGCAGGCGGGCAAGAGCGCGCGGACAGTTCCGCAACATTCGGAGACCCCGGACGCTCTGGCCATGCCAGCCACTCGCTCTGAGTGCCACGAGATGCGCCCCCTGCTCCCCGAGAGCCCGCCATTAGCCAGCGGGTGGGGCGCATGCGCACAGAGGTACGGGTAGCCCGGTAACTCCGAGAGAAGCGGAAGAAAGCAGCGCACGCGCCTTGAGCGCTTGAGAGGCGCAAACCAGTCAACGGCGGAAGCAGACGCGTAAGCGCAGTGGGTGCTGCGTGAACACCAGCGAGAGGAAAGCTCGCGGCTTCGGGCTGGACGTCCGGCTGGATACTCACGCAGGCGCAGTAGCGCGCGGAGGATGGCTGGGGGGAGGGGGGGCAGACGCAGGCGCACAGCGTGCTAAAGGGGACAAATGATGAGCTGGGACGTTGCGAGCCCGTCACCTGCGCCCGTAGTCCTGTGGGAGGCTCCAGGTCATCCTCCATCCGCCCTTTCCGGAGCGCTGAGGCCGAAATGCCACTCACTCCTGAGCCGGCCAGCGGACCGGAAAAGGCTCTGGCCCGAGGTCATCCCGGCCAGTCCCCTGCAGCAGCCTCCGCAGCGCCCAGCGGACGGCGGGGACGCTACTTCGCGACTCCTCGCCCACCGCTCGCACCGCCGCCTTTGCAGGGAATCCCAGCCTCGGCCCCCAGGCATCCCGCCGCCTCCCCCACCTCCCTGCTCGCGGCATCCCCCACCCACCCGGCGTCCTGCGCCCATGCCTGCACCCACAGTCTCCCCGACTTTTCCCCGGAGGAGAAAGTGCAGAGGCGGACTCACCAG